AGGGTTTCGTATTCGAAAGCTCCTGTAGGTTACAGAGATAATTAATTAAATTAATTACCACCAGCTATAATCGAACCATTGACCTCGTTTGTGGAAGGTTAGGCGCCTAGACCACTAGGCTATGGAACCCTAACCCTGCTGATAAAAAATCACAAATTAATATATAGTTAATTTCTTATTCCAAATTAATGCAAATTTTTGCAATAATGCAAATAAATTTTTATGGGTCTCTAGTCTATAGACTTTCCGAGATTCTAAAGCGGAGACAAATCATGTGATCTTCGGTTAATCAAAATCACAGGATTTTGATGATCGCCAGTAAAGCAAAACAAGAAATAAAAACAAAAAAACCTGAAAAATACAAAAAATACAAAAAACAGCAGTTTAAACCTACTTTGGATAAGTTAATCAAAATTGTTGGGAAGGCAATTTTGCTTATATATAACTACCTAAAACCAAACCAAACCCTAATATAGGATGCTCCTAATCCTAAAGTTAATCGAAAAAGTTATGAATATGAGTTGCCTTCACTTTAGATGTTCCCATTATAGAGAGGTTTGACTGTATAAACAATGTGAATGTGATAATTTTCTGAGAATCTATTATGTCCCTGAATAATAATTAAATTTATATGTAATGATAATTTGTCTATGTATAGTGTTAAAATAAATTCTGGAGTGCCAGGCAATCTTATAACACATTTCTAACTTATCTGGTCTAAATTATGCGTGTGTTACAAAATAAGTTCTTTATTTTCAAAATAGAAAAATTTCAGTTCATCTTACAATATTCGTGTAAACATATATATAGTTAATAGGTAAATAAATAGAGTAGCAGAAAGAAATTGTCTTCTATGGTCTCGCTTATTTGACATGTATTTCCGAATAAATAAAATAAATATATTCCACCAGGTTTAAAATATAATTTAAAAAAGTTTATACAATTTCATTGAGCATTACTTAAAACATGCAAAATATATTTATTATATGACGTGCTAAATCATCAATAAATTTACTAGTTCACAAATCTCACAAGTGCTTAGGAATCCTCAAAACACTACGAATGCTCTTGTCTTTACAAGGAATAAGAATACGATCAATTTTATCCATAATTGCTTCCTGCTAGACTACTTCATCCTAAAAAATGGTAAATTTTTAGGAAATACAAATAATTACAAAATATAACTACACTTTTCACTTACATGAAAAATGGCTATTATTCGCATAACTGCCATATACTTCGACCGTGAGTCAAAATCAAATGGCAACTCCGCTGATGCTAACTTATATGCAACAAATTGGCCATTCTCTAGCATGCTAAAGGCATACAATGTTAACCTATATGCTAATAATAAAAAGGAAGAATATAATTAAATTTAACTTTATATAAAACAACATAGTGAAAACCTACCAATGACCTGCATACTAAAAACTTTGATTTTTTTCGCTATATTTACATCAAGGTCAAGATGGTTTCTCAAGATATTTATCAAATTCAATATGTCGGTGTGTAGTGTCTTTTTGGTGTCATCAGCAGTATGGCGAGTTATAGGATTACTTGGCGGCCCTGACACTTCCATGTGCCAAATTTCTTTGTTATCACTAATACAAACTCCTTTCGATACTGTATTTGTATTAAAAATCAGCAGTTAATTACAATAATAATCACAACCACTAGGCTTAGTATATACCCTTGACATCCACTAATGTGATTCCAGAATCATTTGATGTCTTCATTATCTTTACAAATCGTACACGTGATTCTATTTAGTCGAACTCCAAAGTTCTAAAAGTAGATTCGTAAAACATGAACAAGGGCGAAATATGGTATATAATGAATTTTCGCACCTTGATCATTCTCGGAAGTGTTGGGAAAACATCAACTAAATTATAACTTAAAAAATATAGAAGTTATATCATTATGCGTAATCCCTTTTTTTATGTTAAACAATAGCTTAACACTTACAACTCCATTAATACTTTTTCACAGTATAATCTAAAATTGTTTTCATTTTCTTCACCTCTATCTATTTCTTCTTGTATTGCTAACTTGAAATTTTTTCCCACTTTCTGCATATATCATAAACCAATTTGGTAATAATCATTGGACAACTCATATGAAATATAAAAACTCACATCTAGCGCATTCCCAAAGTATTTCTCTAAACCTTTTGTTCAAATGGATGGTATTCGACTTTTATATGAGGATATCTCATCTAACAAATCATTTCCTACTAGCTTCTCCAATTCTGATATATCTGTGCCAAATGTGCATACGATCTGGATTAACTCAATATACCTAAAGATAAAAAAATTATTAAAATGAAACATAAAGAGACAAATATAGTATTTAGCTCGAGCTTACTGTTTTACTTTCTCATGTTCAATCATCCTTTTATTTAGGGTTATTAGCATCTGAGATTGTGGAGACTGAACCGATGAAGACTGAACTGGGGGTTTGAGCTTGTGTCTCTCTTTGAGGTCTTTGAAAGGAGTTTTGAAATGCCATGTATTTCGCATTTTCCGAAACAAAGCTCTAATAAAAAGCGCAATCATAATCACTTCAGAAAAGAGAAAAATGCATTCCAAAAAAGAGTAAATAACTCACCTCAGCAATTTCTTTATACTTGCGTTTTTGTTTCAAATGGTTTCTAATATTGCACATTCCTGAAAAAACATGCAACATGCATTTGAAACAGCCTGTCTTTTCCACGTCTTGATGGTTCTCAGGATTAGCCTTAAATTAAATTATACTGTTAGTATTATGAATCAATAGAACTGGATAGTTACCTGCATCCATTCTAAGTAACTTAAACAAAACGCACGAATAGGAGCGCAAACATTCCTTTGGTTACCAATATAGTCCAAATTGGTCAAGAAAAGCTCTTGGATTTGTTCAAAATCTAGTTCCGTTTCTTCGTCTATAAATTTATTCACAAAACTTTCCAGACACCAATTGGATGCTGACTTTTCAGTGAAGAATTTGTGTATGCCTAAAATGTCTGAACATTTATAATCAAAAAGCTTTGAGCTCTTTAAGCGTAGTTCTTTGAGGTCATCCATTAAACTCAGTAAGATAATTTAAACTCAGTAAGATAATTAATGTGACGTGACAGATTACTGGATTTAACGCATCATAGAATCTTGGGGTATGCCCAAACTGTGGGGGTCCTTAAAGCGGGCAGATCATGTGACATATCGTTTTCATTAACTTTAGGGTTAGGGTAGTTTCTATAGGTAAAATTACCTCCCCGACATGCTACCTGATAAAATTCGACAAAATTTTTTTTATTTGAATATTAAGATTCTGTAGAATTCAAATAAAAAAAATTTCATCAAATTTTATCAGGTGGTTGTCGAGATATCTTCGCTCAAAGTTTTAGAAAAATCAAAAACGTATATCAAAATAAAAGCTGTGCCGAATTTTTCTAAAACTTTGAGCGAAGATATCTCAGTGTCCACCTGACAAAAATTTTTTTATTTGAATACTAAGATTCTGTAGAATTCAAATAAAAAAAATTTCATAGAATTTTATCAGGTGGTTA